GAAGCCTTGAATGTTCCGACTGCCTTTTAATGTTTAAGGAGCAGTAATAACCTATAAAAATAAAATGTAATAAAATAAAATGAAACAAAAATTTCTTAAATTTGATTTTTTTAAATGAAATCATCCCACCACACGCCATACAAAATACAAAAGAATACTTTTCGCTCATTGTAATAAATCATTTATGGCAAATGAGCTTCTTTCAACCAATTTGGAACGATTTCTAAGACGGATTAAATCACCGCTTACGCGTTAATAGCGCGAAAAATATCGCGTGTTAATTGTCCCAAATTGGCCATATTGGCAATCTTTAAACCCCCATAACTTTACAAAAAATGATCACAGATGAATTATGTTTTCAAATTTAAGCTCAGGACATTAATATCTTTTAAATGATATAAAAAAATTCCGTCAAAAATGGCTAGTTAAAAAGTCGAAATTTGTCTGAAGAAAAAAAAAACCCACCCCGAGCACAAATATTCCGTTACTTTCGTATCGAAAGTCGGAACAACAAGACTGCTCGTATCAGGGCGAAGCCCTGAATGTTCCAACTACTTTTGAAGGTTTATGGAGCAGCAGTAATAGCATAAAAACATAATATGAAATAAAATAAAATGAATTTTTTTTTTAAAGCTTCAAATTTTTTATGAAAATCATCCCCCCACACGCCATATTACGTACAAAAAGATAGTTTTGGTTCCTTGTAACACATCAATATGGCAAATAAACTTCGTTCAACCAATTTGGAACGATTTATACGACGGATTAAATCTCCGCTTACGCGTTAATAGCGCGAATTATATCGCGCGTTAATTGTCCCAAATTGGTCAAAATGGCCAAAATGGCAATCTTTAAACCCTCATAACTTTACGAAAAAAGATCACAGGTGAAATATCTTTCCAAATTTAAGCTCAAGACAACAATATCTTTTGAATGATATAAAAAAAAATCCGTCAAAGATGGCTAGTTAAAAAGTCGGAATTTGTCTGAAGAAAAAAAAACCCACCCCGAGCACAAATATTCAGTTACTTTCGTATCGAAAGTCGGAACAAAAAGATATTCGACGTGTGATAAATTTTTTTTAAATATGGGGATTTAATTATTACCAATTTGAGCAATTTGGGATAATTAACGCGCGATATATTTCGTGCTATTAATGCATAAGCGGAGATTAATTCCTACTTAGAAATCGTTCCCAATTATATTGAGACTTGCTATTTGGTCTATTTGAAACTTTAAAAATTTTGAGCAATAGATCACTTTGTACTTTACATAACTTGAAGGTAATGATTTTGAAAATAGTTCTTTAGATTGCAGTTTTTTTCCTTTGTTTAAAATTTGTCCAATTTTTAAAAGGAGCTTTTACTTCATAAAACTTAAAGTGCAGTCGGACATTCAGAGCTTTGCCATGAAACGAGCAGGTTTGGTGAAAATTACAAACCAGGGCAACAAAATTTTATTCCAGCCTAATTGAGTATTTAACAAAATCCAAGCTATTTGAATAAATTAATATGTGAAACAGAACTTGTAATCACGGTTAAGTCAGTTAAATTTTTTTACATGAGCATGCTAATCAGCACACATTCTACACACTAGTAGAATCCTTTGGTCCCCGAGAAGGTCCCAAAGAATTCTGCTGGCAGCAGAATTTATCAGAATTGGCAAAATTCGGCTTATAGAGCAGAAAATTTTATAGAGCAGCAGATAGAGCAGAACCTAACCATACGGCAAAATTTGTCGATACTTCTCAAAAAACTTTTTAAAATAAAAAATGAAAGCTGTAATTCGATTTTTCGGAGATGCCATATGTCTTTATGCTCGACTCAACACAAAAAATTAATCTATCTGCAACTACTAATCTACTAGTTTGCTGCTGGGAAGTGCTCAGCTTGTTTTTCAAATTGTTTTTTTTTTGAAAAACGATAAAAACGATCTTTTTATAGTAATAAACGTATGATTAATGAGAATTTTCATTGTGATAAACGTATGATTAATGAGAATTTTCATAGAGCAGAAAAGGCAGAATCTTTATATGAAGCAGCAGAATTTGCTCTATACAGCAGCAGAAATGTTTGCGGCCTGGTCCCCGAGAGAGCGGCCATTTTGCCGTGTTCACTGAATAAAGTGGCAGTTATGAGAGACATAAATACAAACAAAACCGAATCTTATTTAAACAATCAATAGCCAGGCAACCAAATTACCAGAACTATATCAGCCAAATTTCAAAAAACAATCTATTCCAATTGCTTATATCATTTTTGGGGATGGGCCAACAAACCGAAGGGTCAACAAACCGAAAAAAAAGAATACCGTTGCAACAAGCGGAAAATAAATATTGTTACACAGCTTAACAACAGATTGTCACTGTTGTTATGCAATTCTTACGTAACTTTGATGTAATTTCGGCTTCAAGATAGGGCAGTTTGTAGATATGAAGGTTTGTTGAACATCCGCCTCACTTTCGTTCGATTTAATGGAAGCAATTAGTAAAGCAACTTCTATCTTCAGTTTGTTCACCATCAAAAATTGTGTTCACTTTGTTTGCTATGCTTGTTTGCTGTGCTTGTTTATACTTGTCACTACCAACCAGTTAGCGCAGACCTGTAACTCTGTCATTTACCAAGATGCTATTAACATAGGATCAGTTTTCTCAACCTTTCCGAGTAAGAAATATGCAGAAATGGAAAAATGGATAGGAAAATTGGTAATTTGACTCCATAATTTAAATGCAAACTACTTAATACTAAACTAATTGTCGTAAGGGTTCGTTTTGTCCCGATTAACTAACGGACTGTTATTTGATTCAGATATTCCTAATTTAATTTTAGCTGTACACTTATAAGCATAGATTTTTGATCAAGAAAGTATCAAATTTTCCAGAAGCTTTGCGAGAACGGCGTAGCCTGTCAGAAAAAGAGAGTGTTCTACACTTCACGCAAATGGATGTCCCACTGAAAATGGGCTCAGTTTCACTTATTTTAGTCTCAATGGAAGGATGGAAATATTAAAATTATTGTTTCGACATTTCGAATAGAGTGGGAAAAATATATGCCCACTCTATGCCCACTCTGTGTTTTTTTTTGTATTCAGACCAATCGATCATGGGCCCATCCGAGTTTGCACACCATTATGGTAACTTACCACGAGAATGTCTAAACTGCTCGTTTTATACTTTACACGTTGGGAATAATCAGGCAATACAAAATCGTTCCAAATTGAAATGAGGCAGCTATTGCTTTTATCAATTCCATACACGACTCAAAGTGTAAGAGTAAACAAGATTGCTCGTATATCAAGAAGCCTGCTCGTATATCAAAGCCTTGAACGTTCCGACTGCCCCTTAATCCATAAGAAACAGATTTCTGAGAAAAGAAAATATATTTTTCAAAATTTGGACAATATCAAAGATCAAGTACGAAATTAATAAATTTGATTAGCTTGCCTTAATTCAGTTTGGAACGATTTTGTTGTGCGGGATAATTTGCGACGCGTAAATAATTCGCGTTACGTTTTCAGCAAAACGAACAAAACTGCTCGTATCAGGGCGAAGCCCTGAATGTTCCGACCACCTTTTAAGGTTTATGGAGCAGCAGTAATAGCATAAAAAAATTAAATGAAATAAAATAAAAAGAATTTTTTTTTAACATTTGAAATTTTTTGTGAAAATTATCCCCCAAACGCCATATAAAGTACAAAAAGAGAGATTTCGTTCCTTGTAACAAATCAATTATGGCAAATAAGTTTCGTTCTACCAATTTGGAACGATTTATAGGACGGATTAAATCTCCACTTACGCGTTAATAGCGCGAATTATATCGCGCGTTAATTGTCCCAAATTAGTCAAAATGGCAATCTTTAAACCCTCATAACTCTACGAAAAACGATCACAGGTGAAATATTTTTTCAAATTTAAGCTCAGGACAACAAAAAACCTTTTGAATGATACAAAAAAAACTCCGTCAAAAATGGCTAGTTAAAAAGTCGAAATTTGTCTGAAGAAAAAAAAACCCACCCCGAGCACAAATATTCCGTTACTTTCGTATCAAAAGTCGGAACAATAAAATCTTCAAAATGCGCAAAATTAGTCCAGAGCATGGGCAAATTGGCAATTTTCAAACTCCCACAATTTTGCATAAAATAATTGGAGAAAAAACATTTTTGTAAATTTGATTTCAATGAGTCGATATCTTCAAGGAGGTAAAAAAAATTTATTGAAAAACTATTATTTCGATCGCCGGACTATGACTGAATAAAAAAGCACACCAAACCTGATAATTTTTCTTAGAAATTAATTTCTTTACAATTATTCGAGACCAATGAAAAGGCAGTCGGAATAATTAGGGCTTTGCCCTGATACGAGCAGTCTTGTTACTTTTTTCGAAGAATTTAGTGTGATGAGGAACCAAATTGATTCGCGTTAAGCTAAATATATTATTTTTTTATCATAACTGAATGCGGTAATAATTTGTTTGTTTGGTTACTGAAATAAGCATCTCAATTTCTCTATCTTGATAATACAGCAAAATTGATAGTTTACGAATTCGGATACCAACCTCAAGGCGTTGGTTCGAATCCCAAGCAAGCTTTCATTTTCAAGAAATAGGCGGGACCAATCATTTAAACTAGTTTTTTCACAGGACCAAACAAGTTAACAAGTAATGTTAATGCTTCATAACTTTTGGCTCTACTGAACGGACAACCACCCAAAAAACTTTTGCAAGCGCTTAAAAAACCAGATCATGCAAACTTGATGTGAAAGCGTGCGACAAAAAACCCAAACGTTTCTTCCAAAAAAAGTCATTTTGGCATGTTTTTTTTTGCTAATTTAAAATTTTTAGCAAAACAAGGACTTTATATTGTTTTGGAAGAGCTCGGACTAAGCAAAAGATTGACAAAGTGTTTGATATAACTTTTAGACATAACCAAATTCCTACCCATCACCCTCCCCTCACCCCCTATAAAGTTTCAAATTGACCCTTTTGTGTGGTTATAAGTGTTACCTGATGTGTATGTTGCATGTGGAGATGAGTAGCATGGGTTTGTTCCACTTCACCCTTCCATCACTGTACACCATCAATGGAATCGTACTCTTCTTGTTCTCGTCAAAGTTACCCACTCTGACAACAACATAAAATCAACAATAACAAGGACAGGCGGTTGCTGTGCAAGTAGCACAAAATGTTCCGACCAAATTCGTCAAAAAACTACCAAAAAATATATTTATTTTTCAAATTGCGTCGTTTCTTGTTTTTTGTTTGGTCTGTTGGTTTAAACGAAAGCCTAGAACTTCGATAGTAAGAACTGAGTGCAACTGACAACATTTTTCCAAGTAAAACAAAAATTAAAACAAAAACTTTTTAGTGCTCGTCTTAAGTTTTTATTACCAAAAAGTGCCAGAAAATTTTTGCAAAAAATAAAGCGTCTTGAGTAACCCTGGTAACAGTTAGTTTTATAAGTTAATTTATAAACCTATTACAAGCTTGCTCGCTCGCTTTATTTGCTCCGATATAATTGAAAAATCAAAACTTGTTTCTTAAAACACTTCGAAAAAATTGTTAAAATTTTTTAATACCGCTCGAATCACGACTGAAAAGGCGTTAGTATGATATATTACTCGACACATTCCAATGATTGTTTGTGATTCTTGATTTTGCATGGAAAAAACTGATACAAACCCGAATGCAAAGTTTTTTCTCCCATTTTTAATGGTCGGAACAAAAACTGCAAAAAAAAGAACAACAAAATTACCTAACTTTTAATTTATTGATATCGTTCATTATTCTCTCCTTTTTTGCATAAGGACGGGGGTTTGTTACTAGGTTCACAACTTGCTTAGTCTAATCAACGGGTAATATTCTCATGCGCGTAGGAACGAAAGCGCAAACATTCTCTACCTGAATGCATTTATTGCTTATTGTGTTCCAGTTTTTTGGATACTAAGCTCTAAATGGTCGACAAATTTTTTGCACAGGAGGCCTTCCCTTCTATTACAAGGCTGATATAAATGATAAATGGTGAATTTACAACGCTAATTTTACAAATTTGCAAATTTACAAATTTGATTTATTTTAGACAAAAACTGATGAAGATCAATTTTGTTTAGCAGAATTGATACGGTGCAATTGGTTTTGCAATTTTCGGGCCCAAAAACTTAACCCAAAAACAATCATTTTTGGCTTTGTTTAGTCAATCAAAAAATACTCTAAACCTATTTGTTCATTTACTGTTTGTTAGTTTTATAGTTTGTTTTGTTTACTACCTCTTATGTAGCCCAACAAAAATTCAAAAGGGTATAATTTTCTCAAATTTGTATGAACATAAGTTTTTACATTGGATAGGCCATAAATTGTCATTTTTAATACATCAAACATCAATACTTTCAAATTAAAACATTTTAAAAACCTTTTGCGACCATTTTTTGAGATAACACCCTCCTTAATTTTTGTTGAGATACGTTAGAAGCTCACTTTTATGTAATTTTGCCAGTTATTGACGCGATTATTTTAGCGTAACTCATGATTAGCAATTTCTAAGCAAGTTTTGTCCTCTTCTTTTTTCTATAAAGTCAATCCAATTTGAAAAGAACGAGTTTTATATTTCAAGTTTGATTCATTTTGTCCGGATAATTTAAATCAATACTGAAGAGAAAATCGCAAAAAGTTCGGATAGATAGAATTAATTAAAAAGAGCTATCGTTCGATTTTGACAGATTTTTCTATGCAATTTTGTCTTTTCAGACAACCTTGAGCCACGAGTTTGGTCCGATAAATTAGTCTGTGCATGCTAAATTTCTCCAAAAAACGTCAACTGCTCTCTTTATTTAATTTTGACTGTCCGAACTTTTTGCTACTAGTCATGCACACCTGTTGTAGACAACAATGTCGGGTATCCAAATGTGATGGGGTGAAATAGTGAAATGGGAGATGTTGCCGAAGTCCTCCGGACGCCACGAAATGGTGCTGTCAACCCACGTCTATAAAACGCAATCTTTATCCGTATCTTTAAATTTTATTTTTGAATGGCGTATAAAATGGGAAAAATATGAAAAATTCTTTTACCATGCGTTGCCAGAACAGGACAGTCATCTGTTCTTGTTTCACATCCTGAAAATAAATTTTCATTAGTGATTACATTCTATGGGGGGATCTAAGGGGGGTGGGGTGGCGGATCTTTATTAGGTCGACCAACAATTTGGCCCGAAAATGGCACTTTTGACCTGAAATAACAGGGCAAAAGTGCCATGTTTGGGCACTTTTTGGAATAATTTGATCGAAAATGAGTTTTTCGGCACGCGCACACCTGCAAATCTAGTATATATTGACGCTGAAGGCGCCTTTAGAAAAACATTAAAGTTGGTCAGCCGAAAATGGATGTTATATAATAATCCCAAAGGGGGAATGCTTTGATTGTTTGTTGAGGGGATCGAATCCCTGAGCGGGGGGGGGGGGGGTGAGGAGGCGTTCGTTCTGTCCCCGCCCCTCCAAAATCCGCCCCTTCATCACATCAATTTTAGCTAAACTTATAGACATCATCAATGATAGCGGGTTGCTGGCCTAGTAGCTCAGAATGTTCCAATCACAATTAGTTAAGTTCAAAAACACAAACTTCACAAAAACACAAACTCTTAAAGAAAGAGTTTTATATAACCCAAAAAAAATTTTTTTTTCAGAAATAAATTTCATTTTTGTTTTAAATTTCTTATTGATATTTTTGTGGAAAACTATTGAATTAATTTAAGACATTGCAAAAATGAGATGTAATGATATCTAAAAAAAAACTTGAAAGTTTGAATTAGAACTAAATTGGGTTCAAACTTTGTCAGCATTTTAAGTGGCACCAGGTTGGTTTGAATATCGGTGTGTATTTGAAAAAATTGAATTAAGTTGCATCGATAAAATCAAAACAAATGTAATTTTGTGTTGGAATCCAAATTATGGCTAAAAACATTATAATTTGTATTTGTTAACCCACTTGACCCACAACAACACCCCCCCCCATCCCCAATCCCCCCACCAGGCCATAAAGTTGTCTGAACAAAAGTCACAACAAAAAACCAATGGCAGTTTAAGCGACCGAGAAATTAAAAATTAAACTTAAGTTTGGGTTTTTTCAAATTGAAATAATAGCTACTTTTACTTTGAATATTTTAACTTGGAGTCTATTAACAAAACTTACACAAAGCCAAACGAATTTCATCCGAGGCTTTATTTTATGGAGAAACCAAAATTAAACTAAAGCAAGACTGCTCGTATACAGGGCTAAGCCCTGAATGTTCCAACTGCTCCTTAATCTATATCAAATAGGTTGCGGGAGAAAATATTAAAAATCTATAAATTTTGGACAATATCAATCAAAGATCAATTTTTTATCGTACAAGATTAATACGACCGGTTAGCTAGCCTCAATTAAACTTGGAACGATGTTGTTGTGTGGGATAATTTGCCATGCATAAATAATTTGTGTTATCTTTTCAGCATTATGAATAAAATCTTCAAAGAGCGCATAAATTAGTCGAGCATGGCCAAATTGGCAATTTTCAAACTCCCATAACTTTGCAAAAAATGACCGGAGATAAAAATATCTTTTTAAAATTGATTTTAGTGAGTTGATATTTTTATTGGTTTAACAAAAAATTTTGTGAAAAAAAAATATTTTTTCGGTCGACAAAAATTGACTAAATAAAAAACCACACCATGTGTAAATATTCCGTTTTCTTTGATTCAACGTCGGAACAATTACTTGTCGTTTATTAACTGGGTTAGAAAGTTTCAGTGCCCATGTGAACAATCTCCCTCCTAAATAGACAAAGTATGAATAATCCCCCCTTAAAGTTAGAAGGCAAATTCAAGGCATCTTCAAAACTGATTGCCTGAAAAATTTTATTTTTAATCAAGTGAACGATCTCCTCCCTAATGTTTCCGACTTTAGAAGAAAACAGAGTTTTTATGCTTGGTGTGGTTTTTTTTATTCAGTCAATTTTTTCAATCAATTCAGTCAAATAATTGTTTTTTACAAAAAAAATCTATGCCCCAATGAAGATATCAAATCCCAGAAATCACATTTGAAAAGGTATTTTACCTCCGATAATTTTTTGCAAATTTCTAGGAGTTTGAAAGTTGCCAATTTCGCCATGCTCTGGACTAATATATGCGCACTTTAAAGACTTTATCGATAATCCTGAAAGCGTAACAGGAATTATTTATGTGTGGCGAATAATCCGGCACAACAAAGTCGTTCCACACTAAATTGAGGCTATGTAATTGGCGTATTAGTTTCGTACGAATTTGTTCACTTGATCTTTGATATTGTCCAAAATTTATAGTTTTTCAATATTTTCTTTTCCCAAAAATCTATTCTATATGGATTAAGGGGCAGTCGGAACATTCAACGCTTTGTCCTGATATAAGAGCAGTTTGGCTTAGGGGAGAGATTGTTCTCTTGGTCCAATTTCAGTTTAGATTACAATGTTGATGATCTGCTGAATGGCAAACTGGTGCGACACTTCGGTTACATTGTGAACAGATTGGACTGGTCTGGCTACTGGGTTGTACTTGTTCACTTTGAACACGTAGTCAAGCAGACGGTTGTACTCCGCTGAAACACACACACACACGCACGTTATCATCAGGATTTAAAGTTGATGTATAATTATGGCTAATACCGATTATGTATCATGTTCAGCGTAATCGGCAAAATACCGGTACTTTCGTAGATTAATTTAGCTTTTTACACAATGTTGTATCTTGTTAACTATTCCCCTCCCACCCCCCTATGGTACCTTGTTACGAATCTCCCCCCTATAAAGAAAGAATTGATCAGTTAAGCATATACGAATTTGGTACCTTGTTACTTACAAATCTCCTCTCAGTACGTAAAAACCACGTTAAAACAAAAAATCTATTTAACATTAAAATAATCGTTTCTAATTGATTTATTTTCCCAAAGCCACCGATACTGCCAACAATTTGGCATCAACTAGAATTATAAAAAAAATTATGAAGAATTTCATACTGACTCTGGCCTTATAGCTAAAACTAATGCAATATAGTTCTTTAAATTTTCGCGCGTAACTTTTCCTAATTTATCTTCACTTTCATCTTATAATGAATTAGGAATTTCCTGTCAACAAGGATATGTTTAAAGGTGAGATGGGTCCCCTTTACCTCATCTAAGCTCAAAATCTTTACCATGAAACACAAGTTTCATAGATATCCCATCATATTAGTTGAGATATTCCCGCGGTAAATGAAAACTAAGTCAAGCAAAATAGTCATCATTTTAAAACAATGTGCATCATCATATTTTGGTGGTAAAAACAAGTTGAACCATCAACAATTTTTAGTCGAGAAAAAAATTTAAAGATGTAATTTTTCTCTCTTGAATTAAGAATGCCAAAAAATTTTTCCAAAAATTTTTTCTACATAAATAATAAGCAAATTCGATGCATTAAAAAAATGGATGAGAAAAACCCTATTATGATTGATTATAACAAAAAAATTGATTAGAATCAGTTAAAATGAATTTAATTATTGTAAAAAATTATCAATTTTATTCCATTTTCAACCATTTTTAATCGATTATAATAGATCATTTTAACAAATTATCCAGACAGAGCACACAATTAGCATATATTTGATGATCAACTCTTTTTACTGAGCGCGGGTTATTCGGTGTTTTTCGGTCATGAAAGTCTGCACTCCTTCTCAAATTAATAACTTTGTTGATGATTGAAATTTTTCATAGTGGTAAGCTCGAAGTTATTCAAATACTGAGCCTCTCTTTAAAAAACCGATTATTTGACATTGCTTTTGTGGCTGTTTCAAATGTAATTTTAAAAAATCAGTTTCAATTACATAGCTATTTCAGAAGCCTCATGATTGAGCCTATTTCAAAAAAATTGGACGTTGTCTGACAGACTCGTTAAAAAATACAGTATTGGTTCAAATGAACTGAAAAAGCTCAGACACCAGGGCCGGATCTAGGATTTTCTCGAGAAGGGGGGGGGAAGGGAGCGAGTTTTCAAAAATTTTCAAAAATTCGGTCGACTCTTTTTTGGTCGACCAAATTGATTTTTCGAGCTCTCCCAGAGCACTAAAAAATCCCTGTTTTGGCCTAGTTTTCTGCGCCGCAAGCAACCTTGTGAAAAAATTGGCCAAAAAGACGTTTTTAAGCACTTTTTGGAAAATGTTGACCAAAAGTTTGCACTTTTCCGGCGCGCGCTCCCCCTCAAAGTTTGTATATGTTGGCGCCAAAGGCGCCTTTAGAAAAGTTTTAGGGTTCATCACCAAAAACGGATATCTCAAAATCGTTCAAAGGGGGACCCTTTGGGTCGGCAGGGGGTCGAATCACTGAGGAGGGCGTCTGCGCCCGCCCCTCCCCCCTAAATCCGCCCCTGCTTTACATAGCATGTGAAGGGATGGTTTTCAAACACTCAAAAAAAAAAGTTTTGATGTTTTGAAAATTTCATGATTTTTCTTAAACCATTCTTAAAGCATTGAATTACCGCCCCTGTCAGACACAATTAAAAATTTTAATCAGTTGAGCTTAACTAAAATGTTTTCAGACCAAAAGTTGCTTGGACGGTTTTTTTTACAGTTTACAGTTTAATTTTACAGTTTTAATTTTTTTTAGTTTAATTTTTTCGTTTTACAGTTTTTACAGTTTACAGTTGAATTTTACAGTTTAACAGTTTAATTTACAGTTAAATTTGTACAGTTTAATTTTACAGTTTAATTTTTTGGTAATTTAAAAAAGCACACGAACATTATCGAGTCAATCCTTGAGACATTTTTTGTAAAAGGAGTTCTTATGTATTTATCAAAAAATTAAAACGAGCCCAATTTCTAAAGATAAGTTCAAAAATCTAATTTTTATAATAGTCAAAACCCGTCATTTTTACTAGGTACAGAATATCTTTTCAATTAATTTTTTTTCATGCTTTATTGAATCTTTTTTGAAATTGTTAGCTTCACTAAGTTTTTGAACTACTTAAACGACGCATTTTTCAACCATTTTCCTCGACAAGTAACCGAGACGTTTCAGCGTGAAATTGATTAAGTAAAAAAAGCCAAAAACAATCCACTTACGGGTAAAATTTTGAGCCCGAAAACCGCAAACAAATTGTAGTTTTTTAAGTTAGGTTAATTCGTAGCAATTTTTTTGCAACAATTTTGGCTTAATAAAAACCCAAAATGAGATTTACCATTTCAATTCTAAGGACCGGATACTTAAAACTGGCACTAAAGTGTTGATGTAGCTTTAAATTTAAATAAGCTTTTTCCAGCGGAGGCTGGGCTAAGACACAAACAATCCGAAAACAGAAAAAATTTGGGTACTGCTATGATATAGTGATCCCTTGAAAATAACCAGGTCCCTTAAAAATTAGACAAATAGAGCTCTCAAATCGGTTATGAATTATGATCTGGTCATTCAGAAAGATGACGGAGTATATTTTCAAACGAATTTTATATTTTGTTATATCTTAAACCGTCTTCCTCACTATTTTAGGGTTGAAAATTTAAAAAACAAAATGCCAATGATGGGTTTTGATGACAAATAAATCAACCCATTTATGGTTGTTAAACAGTTAAACGATAAAATAAAGTGAAGCGAGCAAATTTCAATATATAAACAATATAGTAATTACAATTTTTATTCTGAAAAGTTATTGACTCAACATATTTCGCGAGATTTTTGAAATGAATAATTTATACACAAATTAGTTTTCAAAATTATAACATTCGGAAGGAATGCGGGACCTGTCTATCATAGTTGCTTTTTCGAGGGACCACTCTATCATAGTAATACCAAAATTTGAGTTTTGTACAATAACTGTAACGCAAATGGACTGATACGAGATCAGCGCTTGCCAAACACGAGACACGAACTGTACAAAAAAGCCTTGTGGTTATCGACGTCCAATTTTGAAGTTATCGACGAGCCTATTTTAAAAAAAAGCTTTGTGGTTTTTGACGCGCAAGCCACTAGTTAAGAATTTGCAGTAGTATTAATCTCATTCGTCATGATATTGTCATATCATTTTTTTCTTGGACGTGTTCTGCTATAAGACCATTCTACTGCCAAAGTTGATGTCAAACTTCTCGATGACAAGAATTGTTGAAGGTGTCTTCCCCACGTGTTTGGTTAAAAAATAATTTCAGCGCGAAAATTATTCATTGAGTTTTTGAAATAAGGAAACATGCAAATCCGATGTTTAGGAATCGAACGAACAACTTAATGTGAAAAGTGCAATAAATGTATCCTGAAAAAGTTCGATCATTTTTCATTACAAGAAGGACATATTGAATTCTTTTACAAAATCGCTTGTTCTTGCTCTTTTAAAAAAATTGGAGCAAAAAAAAGTTTAATTTTAAATATGGCCATAAAGTGCTTCGAATGATAGCAAGTTGTATCTAACTGAAATGTTTTGAATAATAACAATTTGAAAGAAAATCAGTTGATTCAAAAAAATGTAGTTAAAATTCGATAAGAAAAAGCATTCTAACCAATTTTGATTTTATCGAAAGATATCAGATGTCTACAAAAAAGTGGACTGCTTTTCCTTTCGTTTCTTAGACCGACCAAATTTTTGAAGAAAAAAAACAAGCCAAAAGCGACTTGTTTGGGCACTTTCTAGAAAAATTCATCCTTATAGACTAAATAGGGCAATAACATTGCGCCAAAAAACAGCATTCTCAACCAGGTAAAAGAGTGACTACCAAATCTACAAGCTAAAAAATGTGAAACTTCAGTTAATTCATAAACTAATATCAATTCAAGCACAAGCAATAAAAAACAAGTTTGTAGCAAGTAGCAAAAACTGGAACAGAAATTGTCATTAAAAGGAGCTATCAGCAACTTTAAACAATTTTTGCATAGGAAATTGAATTTGAAAATTGAATTGACCTTGGGTCATATTGTTTCTCTAAAAGCATGGAAGTACAATCTGAATTAGGTAATTTGCTTTTTTCAAGTGCTTCATTGATTTTATCTGTTCCCACTTTTTGCAACTCCCTTTTACTTCAGCGATCAAGGCAAAACTTAGCAATCCGTTTTTCTGACTCACCTGCGGCAGCTAGAGAAAATTCAGCAGTGCATCGGTAAGTTATAATGAAAATTAAAAAAGTTTTATCGAGCAAAATTTTAATCTCTACAATATTTCTGAAACTAAATTTAAAACTAATTAAATTTTGTTCTTTAAAGTTTTGCAATTGCTTTTTGCCAGCGTTTTGTAATTTTTTTCGACCAATTCGTTGCATATTAATGTTAAATGAAGGAAGTTTTTTTGAGTTTGTGGTTCTAGTGCGCTTGTTTTGCATTGCTTTTGACAGTTCAAAATGTAAGTCTGAAAGTTTAGACAAGCTTTCAACGCCATTCATTGTCGCAAGGTCAGAATTAAATTAAAACTTTAAAACTTTGTCCGAGTAAAACTTTGGAAACTAATTTAAAGCGAATGAAATTGAAATTTTAAAACGCATTTTTCTAATATTGATTTAATATTAAACGCAAAAAAAGAGACAAGTGTTGTTTAAAGTTTCCATGATTAATATGAAGCACTGATTTTGCGGAACTCGGAATCAAAATTTTACCATAAATTGTCATAATCAGCTCCTTTTAGTCAACCAAAAATTACGTTAAAATTACCGGGTAAACGAATTAGTATTTTTTATCAATTTGAGTCCTTTTGTAACTATACTTTAGGAATATTTTTCTTAAAACTATCAAACTTTCAGATATGTTAGCTTCATCAGAATGCTCATTTTTATAAAACTTGCTAATCTATTGATCCGGTACTTTTGGCGAAATTCGGATGACCTTTTTAAGGTATAATTTTAGGACGGAAGTATGCTATATAAATTGCAACATATAAATTGTGTTAAGCTTCTGAATAACTATTGTTCTTATTTCTTTTTGTTGTTTTAACCCACATTGAGCCAATGGGTTTGAAAAATTCGCTTTTAGTAGTTTTGTGCAGTTATTTCAAGTCAGCACGAAAAATTTCAACAAAGAAACTTCTTATATCTCAAAGACGCTCAGTTGTAGGCTCTTTTCCCAGCCTTTTTTTTGCGGTGGGTAGTTCAACAGTGCCGAAAGAAAAATGTTGCTTAACAGTTTTACGGGGCTTAGGAAATTAGACCACAAGCTAGTCAGTCAGCTTATTAATGTCACGGTGGTATAACAAATGCATTTCAAAAATTTTATTTACTTTTTCGTTTAAATGTTTTCTAACTAAATTTTATTTTATCGTTTTTTTCCCAGGCTCATGTTTATACTGATCCTAAATCAATGACATGTAAAGTAATTCAGTTCGACGGAAGTTGAAAAGTCAAAAATGGCCATTTTAATTGATGACGCTTTGTAACCAAACAAATGTTCCCCAAGCGCGGCCTCATAATTTTTTTTTGACCAAACAGCTAACTCAGCAAACTGTTAATTTTTCTTGTCAATTCTGCTTCAAAACAAAACAGGAGACCGATTGTTTAGCAGTACATTCTTTTAGCATAAAAAGTGAAAAATGAGTCTTTTAGAAGACCAACGTAAGAAAGTGATGCATGATTGATTAACAGACTCAAAAAGACGTCCAGTCTTGGGTCAAGCTTCCCAAATAAGACAATTATCTCACGGTTTGTTAACAAAACCTTCAACTCCAGAACCCAACAGTACAAAGTGGCGGCAAAAGGCGCACAATAAAATTCCTGCCGAATGGAAGCGCTGCTGAGCAAGCGGTCGCTAATCACCAGGCCCCGGATAAAAGTTGAAATAAAAACGGCTTTTAGTTAACTAAATAGTTGAGGAAAAAGCATCAAAATAGTTACAAAAAAGTTAATTAAAATTCATTGTTTCACAGTGATTTGTTACTATAACAAAACAAAATCATCTTTAAAGAAGTCTCAGTCAATGAATGTCGTGTATCAGACAAAACATCCGCGTATTTTGAAAAAGATCTCTCGACGTCGCAGCTTTAAAACATTAAAACGGAACACATTAAAAGCCCTTTGTCCGCTTTAAAAACGGTAAATTCTGACGCGTATTTGCGAGCACGAGTCGCAGGGTTATCTTTAGTTTTTGGCATGTCAGTTTTGTTCGGTTCAATATTAACACAACTGTCGTGTCTGGCTTGCGTGGCTGGATGACGAAACAAAAGCAAACACAGCGGCAACTAGCGGAAAGCGCGGGAACACATTTCTGAGAAAACGAATTTCCTCTGCGACCTTTTAGCAAACTTATTCAGATTGCTACAAGCGATGCAGAAACCTATTTCTTAGAAATAGTTAAAATAAAAGTACAAACCAACAAAAAGTTACTTCCATCTTTTTTTGTTAAAAAAGTTAGTTAACTACGAATAATAGTTATTTAACTAATATCCGGGGCCTGCTAATCACCAACGCCGCGTTTTAAGTTAGCTTTCTGACTTGCTAACTGTTTTGAGTCTGCTTAAAGGTTGGTCTGCTAAAAACCGTCTGCTAAAATTCCTGGCACCAAACAAAAAGCCAACAAATCGCAAGCAAACTCCACAAATATTAAAAATCCGAACTTTTCGGCACTGTTGAACGCCCCTCGCGATTGATATAGCTATATTCAAATAAAAATACCCAAATTTCACTATTCGATTCATAAAAACTCAAGAGCGCTCTAAAAAAACTGCTAATTTTTACTTTTTGTCAGTTGAATTAACAAAATTTTGGCCCTCTTCTTCGCATACCCCTCCCCCACCCCCCCCTCAATTATTTTACTCCTTTTACAATGAAAACTAACGCGCCGTCTAATTAAGCTATTAAAAACGTATTGTACGTTTCATACATTAGCTAATAAAAGGACTCTGTGCAACATAAGAAAATGATTAACAAGTCTTAGGTAAGTTGGGGGAGGGAAGGAAAAAGAGCCATTTTTTTCAGGGTGGAAACATATTCGTTCTCTTACTATCTGGGTGAGGAGGAGGGAATTCGTCATCAGCCTGGATTGTTGTAAAACTGATCACGATGCTAGCCAAGAAAATAAGTGAGCCAAGTCTGACCAACATCTTAATACTGCAGAAAGTTAATTAAAAAGCTTGTAATTAATGAATCCAAAGTAAACGATGCAAAGTTGAAGTTTTAAAAAAAGTTTTGCTATAAAAACTGAAAATGAAAAAAAAATAATGCAATTAACAAACTTCAAGTCTCGACAGAAAAAAATCACAGTCGTTTTCGATTTATTTTGAACGGTGTGTAATATTTTATAAAAGTTTATTTAATTTTTGAATATATGAATAGATTGATGAATATTTATTTTGATTGATAGTTTTTGGACTTTTTTCTACTTCCTAACGAAATATAATTTTCCTCATTCGAGAAATTAACGAATAAAAAGTAGCAAATCGAGAATCGTCACTCTTTGGAAGGGAAAGAAAATGAAAGTTTAAATAATTTACTTCGACCAATCGAATTGTTGAAATAGAAGGATGGAAAATGTGCTAAATTTAATTTCAACTGACCAATCAAAACAAAGTAATTTTCTGTAAACATTTGGCCACCTGCCTTGTTAAAACTCAAACTGAATCTACAAATATAGGGTCTTTATAGGGTTTTTATAGAAGATTTAAGAAAAAAAACAATCATCGGTTTTAATCTTATTTGTGTAATAAGTTTCAAGCATCTGTTTTTGAAATGAGGTTTTAAAGAGCCCCGCAATTTTAGAGAAACAAGCTTAAATCAATGGGCTTAAAGGATGGGTTTAGGTGGTTGAGAGCTCGAAAGTTTATATTTAGTAATTGTTCACATCAAAATTTCTTTTAAAAATTCCCGTTTATTTGCTCCCCATGAAATATGATGCGCTTATATTGTTATTTACTTATTCATCGAACAAATCCAATTTTGTTTGGACCAACTGGTTTGATACTAACAACTTTCTATGTCGAAGGCCCCCGTTTTGAATTAGACCAGAAAATATTTCAGAAACAGCATCAAACTTTTTGTAATTTTGTTTTTCGAGTAGAACACGTGTGCTTGCACAATGCTTGTTCTTGGATGCGCCAAATTCTTTTTGATTTTTCTCAGTTTTGTTGACAAAAAACAAAATATTAACAAAATATGAATTATTAAAAAAACCTTATTTTTAATACCACCTTCAGGCAAAACAAGCTGACTTATAATCCGACAATAATCTATTATAATGGTTTTATAGTGACAAAAACTCGCACAGTAGAATCGATTATAGATCCTATTTTTGAAATTGAATTCCATTTTGATCAAAACTTTGATTATAATCAATTTTCTTAAAATAGTTTTTATCGGCTAGATGACCGCTGTACCCTGGACAGACGTTGACTCAAATCAGTTAATAAATCAATTATTGTCAGTTTAAAAAAAAACGTATCATGCTTAGGCAATTTCGGGATTTTTTGAGTTGGCACTGTTTAAAGGTTTCAGTATTAAAAAATAATTTTGAAAAAAAAACTTTTTAAAACAATATAATAAAAATAATGGGAAAAAAACGATACCAACTGATAGGCGCACTCTTTTTGTTTTTGTGTATATTCTATTAAGACAAATGTATTTCCAATTAGGACAATTATCTCACGATTTGTCAATAAAATCATCAACTCGAAAAACCCAACTGTCTACAGTAGCGGCAAAACAAAAATTTACGCGCACAAAAAAGTTCGTGCCGAATGGAATCGCTGCTGAGCAAGTGGTCGCTAAACACCAAAGTCGCGCTTAAAAAAATAGCTTTCATACTAGCGAATTGTTCTGAGTCTGCTAAAAGGTTGGTCTGCTAAAAAAAGGTCTGCTAAAATCACTAGCAATAAACAAAATGCCAGCAGGTTGCAAACAGAACTCAAAAAATTTAAGTTTCCTCAAAAATTATTTCATAAAACTGCTAACTTTCACTTTCCGTTATAATTAGATTTATTACAAAAGTTTTCATCGGCTAGATGACTGCTGTACCCTGGACAGACGCTGACTCAAATCAGTTGATAAATCATTTAATATCAGTAAGCAGTATATTATCATGCTTAAAAAATTTCAAATGTTTTTGAGGTCCCGCTGTTCAAAGGCTTTAGTTTTGAAAAATGATTACAAAAAATTGATTTAGAGCAATATAAAACGAATAATAAAAACCTAACAATACTAATTGATAAAACACAAAAAATTGTAACAAAACGAAATGAAAAAGCGAATTATGTTAAATTTTAATGGATCATGTCCAACACTAAAACATTTATGATTCAACTAAAAAATTTTTGAAATATAATTCCAAAAAATAACCGATTTGAATCAATTATAGTAGATTTTATTGCTTCGAAACAAAGCTAACAATGTCACCCAGTTTTAAAAGCTATAATAAATTATTTTGCAACTTATAAAAAAAGAACATGAAAGTCCATCGAAACCAATTATTCTCCATGAAATTCCAGAGCAGAAGGTTTGAGACGAAAAAAAAAGAAATTATAAAAGAAAATAGAAAGCTACAACTCAATTTTTTTTAAAAAAAAAATCAAGTGAAGGTTGTTTGATCGAGCATGTAAATGGCTGACGTAATTGTTTAAATCTCATAACTTTAGATATTTAAGCTTTACGAGGCTAAGCTGTGTGTTTTCTGAATTGTGAGTGGATTCCGCTACAAATTCACTCTATTTGACTTTTCTTTGAACTTGTGTTTTATCTTTTATTAGGGCGAACATTTTAATTATTATTTTGTCCTCGAATTCCATTGACATACAAACAACAAATGGTGAGCCCATCCAGTGTTCAGTTTAGCCTCGTGATGAGATTGCAAATAATGTTTTTTTTTCTAATGAATAGGTCTATAGCCCAAAGATTTCTTTTTTTTAAACTATTTTTTTTTAAACACTTCAGGCAATTTTAAGTTCAGTTCTTAGAATTGACAAAGTATTATGCGTTTTTAATTTTAAGAAAATAAACCTTTTTAAGATATAATTGTACGACATTTCAAACCAAAGGCACTGAAAGTTTTTTCAATATTAATGCAAATTTTAAAAGTTGTTGTATGCGTAATTTGAACTGTAAAACTGTAAGTATTTTGGATGCTGATTAAGTCTTTATGACTGGTTTCACAAAAAAAAAAATACAAACAAAAACTAGAGATTTGACTGGATCTTTAATGTAAAACCCACGCATATACTAACATTTTTAGTGAGCAATAAACTTTTAGTCAAAATGGATGGCAAGATTGTCGGTTGAAAATTACAACCCTAAATTGCAATGACCGCATCCAGTATCAAGCGAAAATAAATTATACTTTAGTTTCAGTACCGGTCGTTCTAACATTGAGAAAAAACCTAATTCAATCAATCAATAATCTTATAATCTCTATATTCGTATTAAAACGTTATTAATTGTAAGATAATTAGCTCGAATATACAGTATAATTTTACCTGTTATTGATACCTTTATGATCGATCTTTATTTGAAATGAAATATATTTCATTTCAATCGATAATAATCAATTCTACTGGACAAAAATCTTTTTATTTGCTAAATTTGTCTACAATCTTGTTTGTCTACGATCATTCAGGCACCTTTCAAATCAAATCGAATACAAAACGTGGTTTTTTAATTTTTTTTTTTTTTGAAATTTGCATGATTTTTTTTGTATTTTTTCCACATTACGATAAGCAATTTCGTTTATTTTGATTATCAATTTGACTAAATAATTTTTTAGCTTATCATGCAAATCAGACATTTAAAGTGAAGTGACCTCTAAGAAACCTTTGTTTTGTGGTAAAATTTTGTTTTCAGGTCAACCAAAAATTGACAGAACAAATCACCTTTACAAGTATCGTTATTTACAGCAATATCATGAATTAAAAAACTATGCTTTTTGGCGTGATAAACCTTCGCAAAAAAACTAAACTATAATCACTGGTACTAAAATCATTTTTAATTAATTATTAGAAAATAAAATCTAAACGCTTATAATTTTTTGAAAAATATCACAATTTTTTTGAACAAAAATTTTATAAATACTTAATTTTAATTATCATAAATATTATAACTGTCCAAAAAGGCACTTTAGAGTTGTTATAATTGATTATTCAAGTCTAAGGTTAGATGTGGAAACTTATCAACTATATCAGTTTAAAAACTAGAAAAGAACAATTTACCATAGCCATTTACAAATTATGTGACAATTGAAGTTGTATTTTTTCTAAATCAGGGAAACAATCGGCGTAAAAAGGATTTACGCTCAAACAAATTTTTCCGCAAAAAGTGTTATCAATTAATGACATCCAAAACACTTCAACAATTTTTTTTCTAACTAAACTTTTGAATTTTTGAAGAAATTACGGAAAAAATGCGCCGGTGAATTTTTTTATGCAAATAAAATTTCATTTTATAGCTAGAAATTGTCATGAAAACATTTTATATCACAGCCTAAAAAGATGTTGTTTTTTTTCTAAATTAAAACAATCTTGAAGTTTTAACTCTTTCATTTTGCTATAAGGATTTGTTTTTTGCGAATACTGGAATTTAGTTTGAGATGAAAATTACTCAATAAATTTCTATTAAATCGTAAGCGATAATTTCTATTAAACCGTAATTTCTACAAAAATTTTCTATTATGTCCTTTCAAATTCAATTGAGACAAGTAGTTTTGGTTACCATACGCTAATTTTATCACTTTATAAACCTTTGCTAGTCGTGCTAGTCGTGCTAGTCTCCCAGCATTAGTAAGACTAAACATTAAGACACGCTTTTGTTTTTTTATGAAGTAATAATAAAATAATTTTAAAAAATTGAAATTTTCATTTTTTTTCATTTTTTTTGTCTTGTGCTCCTCATTTTTCCCCCTCCGCCTCACTTTGTAAAGTACGACCTGATATAATTTGAGTCTGGTAACGCATTAATAAGAGCAAATTGCCTAGCTCAATACAATTTGCAACGGTTTAATTCGCCGCTTATGCTTTGAATGTACAAAAAAAATTGCGCGTTAATTATCCCAAATTGAACCATTGCTAATTTATAAACCCTCTGTAACATTACGAAAAAGAATCACACACATTTTAAACATCTTTTAAGTTTCAGCTCAGAACATCAGTACTTTTCAGATGAGAGTCAAAAATCTAGTCAAAAATTGTTAAATGAAAAGTCGAAGCAACGAACATTCCGTCATTTTATTCGAAAGTTGAAACATATCATCAAATTACATTTAAGGGTTGATTGACCGTTTTGTTTGCATTTCAGACATTCGCATTTTTGTCTGGCTGTCAGATTGTGCCATTGATTTAATAAATTCGATGACTCTCTTAATATAATTCATTCTGGTCGAAATGGGACCGTTGATGAAAACAAAACCAACTGTGAAGCAAAAACGAAGATTGGATAATTTCATCCTTTTTACTTTCATGATTGAGTGATAT